GAAAAGTCAACCTTCAACCTTCAGGGGACTGCAGGGAACCAGCTACCTGCTCGTGTGTGCAGTTCATCTGCCTGTGCTGAGCGAAGCTTCACATTTCCACTTAGAATTTGCTTTATTATTATTATTATTATTAATTATTATTATTTTCAAATGTACATGCATAAAAAATAATAATTAAAAAATCAGCACATCACAGCACTCAAATCACAAGGAAATGGGGGGGGGGTTGCAGTGGGTGAAGCTGGCTCCGTTATTTGGGAGAAATATCAATTTGCACAGAGTTTATTGTAAGATTCTCTTCAAATTTAATCTAAACTGAGACCCATCTTTAGTGCAAGAACCTCTACAAGTAACACAGGGCTGTAGGAGTTTCAGAGTGTTGTTTCTTAGGGATGGATGACCACACCACAAAGGTGGAAGTCACCCAACTGCATCATCTTGGTCTAGAACTTGACTATTTGGGTGAACGTACGTCGTAAATAGCTGTTTCTGCAAAAGGTTCCCCCTTCCCTCACCAAAAGAAATGTCAAAGGGTCTGTAAACTCTGTACAAAGCTGCATTCTGCTGGGAAATATTGTCTGATCCTGAGAGCAAAGGCAAGTCCAGAACCTGGCACTAAACACAAAGGGAAGTGACTGCACATCAGCACGTGGCACGTTCACACAGCTTTATTAAAGGTGAAGCAAGGGTGGAGCAGCGATGGTTAGAAGGGCTGTGCTTCTGTTACACGTCATTCTTTATGTCAGTAGAAGGTGAAAAAGTCCTGATCAAAAGCAAAAATACATCAGGACTCCATCTACTTTCATCCCCAAATCCAGGATTATGGAGTTCCTGGGAATCTTCATGATTTCAGACAACAAAAATGAACCTTTTCTTTTACATTTCGGAGCTTACACACCTTTACAATCAGACTGACAAACCCACAGAGGCTCAGAAATAAACCAGCACGTACAGAAACCATCAGGGGCTGGGGTTGTACTGCCAGACTCACAACTCTTAAGAGATCCAAGATTTCAAAAGAAGTCGTTATTTCCTTGTCTGCCAATTGTTCAGTTCAAATAGACACAGGAAAGTTAATTTAGGACCATATTCCTTCAGCTTTCCATGCAGGCTCATGGGAAAACCTGATTTTTCTGGGAATACTGCCTTGTCTTTCACATATATAAAAGAACCAAATCCCAGATTTGAGACTTAGGCAGGAGAATAAAGAATTTACCTTTGGTAATAATTCAAATTTCCATTCTCTGCTCTCTCTCTCTCTCTTTCTTGCCCTTTTTATAGGTTCACATATTCGTGCCCACCTGCTTCTGGCAACTCTCCTGCCTCCTGGCATGATGATGGGTAAAGAAAACGGATTCTTCTTTTCCAGCCGCAGTGCTTTTCTCTTGGCTGAGTCCTGATGTCACCCCTGGGTTGACCTGGAAGCGAAAATCAAACGTTGCCTCTTGGAGAGAAGTGATTTGACAATCCAGTTTCTACCTCTTATCACTTCTTGGTGGGAAACGAGGTGCCAGGATGCTTTGAATGAACTGGGAGCCCATTCAGGGTGGGGAAAATCCTTCTGTGGACAAACCTACAGGGAAAGGGGGTTTTCTAGCAGGAATATTTTTGGAATAAAAGCATTTCACTTTGCTGTTTTAAAGGAAAAAGAGAGAAACAGAAACGAGCGTGGCTGGCAGCTGTGATTTTGTGAGAATAAATGTTTGTTCCAGCCATAAAGGGAATAAAACTGCCCCATTAGAGCAAAACAAGATGTGAAGGTGATGGAGAACTCACTGTGAGTGTGTTACACTTCTCTTGGCATCCCTGAACGTGACACAGGGTAAATATCCTCTTGTTCCTCGAAGCAGATACCTGGGTGTAGCTGTTTCAATCAGGGGCCAAACTACTGAACATTTCTGAAATGTCCAAGGTGATAAAAACCTCTCCTGGTCTGAGGGATCAACAACCACCTAGGAAATCTCTGAAGCAGCGGTGGCATCTCTTTGAGATGCCTCAATTTATTGTGGAAAATGAACCTTGTCCCATGAAACCTGCACCTGGATTGGGAAATGAGGCGAAACAGTGAGCAGCTCAGCTGCAAGCAAGGCTTAAATAAATGGAGTTCTTGTGGGAAGGGCACCTCCTGCTTTTTAGGGGCAGCTCTGGTGAGCTTGGGGCCAGTCTTTGTAGGACATCACGTTCAAAAGCTTCAACACTGGACAGGTTGCTAAAGTTACAGCTAAATAACGTTATACCATCGAGCTAGTCGTGGCTAGAAAAAAGAGAGAGAGACCATCCAAAGTCCTTCAGGCTGTGGAAGGTCTCCATCATTTAGTGCTTATATGTGTGGTGGACCTCATTGCCTCCTCCGTTGTGCAGTGGCTCAAGGAATGTCTCTGAAGGTCTCAGTCTCGTTTCTTTCCCCCTCTACCCTCGGGTTGAATTTGAAGCAGCATCCATCCGAGATAGTAGCGAAGAGTTGAGAGCTTTTTTTTATGGTCAGGATGTGAAGTAAGAGCTCTGCATGGAGTAGAGTCGGTCGATGGGGTTACCCACACGGGCTTGGAGGAGGTTGGCTTCAGCTGTTGACAGCAGACAGTCTCCCAGATGGCTGATGCTGTCACTGTCCATATCGTGGAAAACTCCTTCTGAGTCTAGGAGAGGAAGGAAAAGGGAATGAGTGTGAACGTGGCACGAAGGTGTCTCGTGGGGAGCTGCATCACAGAGAAAGGGTGACAGCAGAACTGTGCTTCACCTGGTCAGCAGGGCTGGTATGAAGTTATTCCCACACACAGGACCAGCTTTAGGTATAACTTTTCCTCCCTCACCCAAACATTTGGAGGAGGTAAGACCCCAAACCTCACTCCCCAGCCCCTAGAAGAACTTGGTCTGAGGCTCTGGGCCTCACCAAACTTCCTCTGAGAAAGTTTTGGCACAAAGTCCAAGTCCTTTGGAGCACTCAGTGCTGCTGGCTTGACCAGGGGTCACAGCAGAGTTGGCATTTCATGGCTTGGACTGCTACGTGCAGCTTTGATGTAGAGACACAATCAGAATCCCAGAATTAACTGGATTGGAAAAGCCCTTGAAGATCATCGAGTCCAACCATGAACCCAACACTGACAAGTCCCCGACTAACCCATGTCCCTCAGCACTGTGTCTACACGACTCTTCAATCCCTCCAGGGATGGGAAGGTTGGAAAAGATCTCCAAGATCATCAAGTCCAACCATCAACCCAACCCCATCATGTCCCACTAAACCATGTCCTGAAGTATCAGGTCTACATGTTTTTTGAACCCCTCCAGGGATGGGGACTCCACCACTGCCCTGGGCAACCCCTTCCAATGCCTCAGAACCCTTTCAGCAAAGAAA